GCAAGTTAAGGATTTTTAATTTAATTTAATTTTGTCATAACTCTTTATTCTTTTTAATTTAAAAATTATTCCAGGCTCTAGGGTGATAGAAACAAATTTAAATGTAGTACCCTGTGCATTTTCAAATTTTACATTCCAACTTTATAATCAATCTGGATTTTTAAAAATAATGAGTCATGTTTCCCTAAATGGTGATCTAGTTTTCCTGACATATTTTATTAATTTTCTTATGTTCTGTTGATTGATTTGAAATGTCTGTAATATATTCTCTGTAATATGTGGGTTTGTTTTAACATTTTGTCTCAGATTCATTCCATACCATTAAATTATTATTAGTTAATGGTATAATCTTTTTATAGATTCTATAATTCTATAAACAAATTATAGAATCGAAAATTAATATTTTTTTGTAGTTGTAGATGGACACAATGCCTTTATTTTATTTGTTTTATGTGGTGCTGATGAGTATTGAACCCAGTGCCTCACATGTGCTGGGAAAGCGCTCTGCTACAGAGCCACAACCCCAGTCCCAAATTATTATTATTATTATCATATTTATTTATTTATTTATCTATTTATTTATTTTTAGTTGTAGCAAACACAATATCTTTACTTCATTTTTATGAGGTGCTGAGGATTGAACCCACTGTACTAGGCAAACACTCTACCACTGAGCCATAACCCCAGCCCCAAATTATTATTTTTTAAAATACTGTTATTTGTAGGTGAATACAATACCTTTATTTTATTTATTTGTATGTGGTGCTGAGGATTGAACCTAGTGCCTCACGTATGCTAGGAAAGCACCCAATGAGCTGTAACTGTACCCAGCCCACCATTAAATTATTTCTTTTTCAGTGACTGCAAGGACTGCCTTCTCTTGCTGGATAAATGCTTCTTATACCTATATTCATCTCTTTATTGATGATTAAAATTCTCAGAAAATAAAACATTCATATCTCAGACCTCACTTATGCTCAAAACCCACAGTATGGTGTTTTCTTTGTGTTAGATTTCAGTAAATATTATTGATATTTCATTATGATTTATGAGTTGACTTTCTTGATGTACCTATTTTCTTTAAAAGAAAACAAGGGTTCTTTTGTACATAAGGATTAAAGATTATACAATTTTCTCTTGTCACTTAATGTAATAATGTAACACATCTTCTCATGCTAGTATATGTACATTTACCTCATTCTTTTAAGATTATGCTGTATTCTCTCATTAGTTAGGCATAGCCTAATTTCACCTGTCCTATATATGGCAATTAGAATGTTTCTACATTTTTTAGAGCGCACATTATGAAGTTTCCATAGAGTGAGTTCCTAGAAAACGAATTATAGAATCAAAAATTGAGTAACTGTTAACCTAATGGTTCTTTGAAAACCTGGCAGCCCATCTGGGCATATTCACACATATGCCCACTATGGCAGTGTTTACTTAAAGAATTTATTCTTTATGACAGTGTTTATTTAAAGAAAGAATCTTAAGGGCTGGGAATGTGGCTCAGTGGTAGAGTGCTTGCATAGCACATGTGAGGCCCTGGGTTCAATCCTCAGCACCACATAAAAATAAATAAATAAATGCATAGTGTCCATCTACAACTAAAAAATATTTTTTTAAAAAAATTGTCTTAAAGCAGGCTGGATACAGTGGTACACACCCATAATTCCAATAGCTTTTAAAGTCAGGCAGGAAGAACACAAGTTCAAGGCCAGCCTTGGCAATTGAGTGAGACCCTCATCGAGAATCTGTCTTAAAATAAAAAAAGGGGCTGGGGGTGTACCTCAGGGGTGAGTGCCTTTCTAGTATGTGTGAGGCCCTGGGTTCTACCCCCAACACTATAAAACAAACAAATAAAAGATCCTTAATATTAAGGGAAATGATGTTTCATCTTTGAAAAGTTCCTGAGTCATAGTAAGCTATCTTTTCTGTTGCAATGTTTTTTGTACGGTTTAGTACATTGTCAAATGTTTATTTTTTTAACACATCTATATTTTGAACTAATTAATATGTGGAATTATTAGCTTATTTTGTCTTGCAGTGGAATTCACYCTCAAATTTCTGTTTTTGGTTAATTTGCCCAAAGGAGTGTTCTTAAAATAGTTGTTATGAATTTAAAGGTCATTAAGTTCTTACCCTACAAAAAGAGTGTTTCATAAGGACTGTTGTGATTTGCTTGTCTTCACTGGTATTTTGTTGACAATTTGTTAGTTTATATACTGGCTAGTTCTGTTTTTACTGTTGTATTTCCTCCCCGTACTGGTGCTGTAGACACTGAGCTGTATCCCAGCCCTTTCTGTTTTTTTTTTTTTTTTTTTTTTTAAGTAGTAGAGGGACACTACTACTTATTTATTTATGTGGTGCTGAAGATTGAACCCATTCCCTCTACCACTGAGCCCTAACCCCAGGCCCTTTCTGTTTTTTATTTTGATACAGGGTCTTACTAAGTTGCCCAGGCTGTCCTCAAACTTGTAGTCCTCCTCCTTCCCTCWGCCACCTGCTTTGTTGGGATTATAGGCATGCATCACTGTGCTCAGCTTTTGCATTATTTTTCAACAAGGCATACTAATAAATTAAGGAAAGTATTATAGAATAAGTTTACCAGTGAACTTGATTAATCATGCCATTAAATACAAAGGATAGATAAAAGATRACAGAGGCATCTTTTACCAAGTGCACTGCTTGCAGCAACAATAGATAAAAATCATACACATTCCTAAGAAATTTCTAAAGGCAGCCATAAAGAATCGACAAGTGGTCAGAGAGAGAACTGAGTAAGCGGTAGGTAAAATTTGTTTATTAAATGCTAGTGTTAAGTACCCCATATTGTTAATGTTGCTTGTATGTATGGCTCCATTAGACATGATTCTTTGCATTTAGATACAATTGTATGCAGTGTCTAAGCTAGTTCTTGTCATATATGCAGTGTAAATATAAGATAAAATGTATTTGGGGTTTTAGGATTTTTTTTTTACATTGTTTTAGAATAGAATGCCCAAGCTACAGTAAAATGCAATTCTTTGCTTTATTAGTAATCATTTGGGAGCAGTGATATAGTCTATAGAAGGCGGGCGCATTGGGAGCAATCTTGATAGGACATCACTCTGTGGTTAGGGGTGMGTGTTATTACAGAAAAAAAGAAGTTTGTATCTGAATGCTAATCCGTGTACTTCTTTTTCCTTTGATTATCTGTTGCAGTTTTTGTTTCCAGTGTTGATAATATTACTCAAATTTTAATGAGGTCAAATATCATTATGCATGTTTTTAACATGTTCTATGAAAAACAGTGGGTTACTTTTCTTTGGTCTCTGTAAGAGCTCACTTTACTTTTGAAGTATAGAAAGAAATAATATTTTTACTGTTTTCACAAGTTGTATATTTTAGTGTTATAATATTTTGACAACTAAAAGCTTATACTTCACATAGCAATTGAATCTTAAGAAGGTATCTAGATWTCCTAAAATCAAGGAGATTCATCACAAAGAAATTAGTTTCTGGATATTTGATGATTTTCTTCAATTTAATGAAGAATAAAATTAACATTTTAAAGTTATATCCAGATGCTTTTGTAGAATTTGAAGAAGTACTGTTCTGATCTAAATCTGGCCATATACCACATTTTCTCCTAAGGTGAATAGTCAAGATTTTCAGCATTTGACCATGATATGTAGTAAAAGCAATCTTGGTGAAAAACAAGCCTGAATAATTTTTTGGGGGTTTATGTTTGATCCAGTTATCAAGTATTTAATAGAAATGAGATACTTACTGCCATGTTTTCCAGTTTGTGAACAGTTGTAATAGAACTTTGGTAAGAAATTAAATCAAGCTCATATTGAATCTTAGTGTTATCTTTAGAGGGAACTATAATAATAGATATCCTATTATAGGTTGCCAGATATCCTCTGTGTCTGTTATGAAACTTTCAGTTTTGTTTTCATTATTTGAAAGACATGATGAATCTTTTCAAACATTTACTTTAAAATTGGTGAGCCTAGTTGAACTTCTGTTAAATGGTAAACAGGGGCCAGAAGTTATAGATAATTCATTTATTCATTGAAGCAAAGTTGCTACTTTCCAGATGTGTCCTTTATATAGTTATATAGTGTAAGACACTTAAATTTTCTAGTCTTTGATTTCCTCATTTATAGAACTGGTAATTGTGGCAAGTAAATATAACTGCATAATGATTTATCTCATTAATCTCATTTAATCTTAGCAACTGCTTTGTGAGGTTAGGTGGTGTTCCGTTTTACATTCATAGGGAAAAAACAATTCATGCCCAAACCAATCACAGCATTAAGTAGCTGTAATTACAGTCTGAATTGAATTGGTTCTATGTTTCCTGAGCTTCTTCGAATTTCACTTTAAACATGTTGTAAATCTTTTCTTTTTTAAATTCATTCTCACAGTTTTTAGCCTTTATGTCTTATTTTCAAAAAAACCTATGGAAGTTAATATGGGTATGATCACTTAATTTAGGCTCTTATAAAGTTCTTACCCTTTGGTTTTTATGGGATCATGTAGAAGGATTAAGGTGTAGGCTTTGGCAAGAGACCAGTTAACTGTGTGCGCTACTTGTTGTGGTTATGAGACGTCTTCCATAAGGGCTGCCTTTGGGCAATTTGGAAAGCACATCACAATGGTAATGAGTTAACCACAATTGAGTTGGGTTCTGTTTGTGACTTGGACTTTCCATTTCAGAAATTGATGCATTTACAGTGGGTTTTCCTTCCACTCAGAGTTTCAAATAATTGTGCCTCATCTTTGGGTTGCTGTTGAATCCTTATTATGGAGATTTACAGTAATTTGTAAAAAAAAAAAAAAATGCTGTGCTGATCCTTAGTTGCTGCATATTGTAATAAGTTAAAATTTAAAAAATAGAATTGTAAACCACATTAATAACCATTTTCATTAACTTTTTTTACAATCTTGAATTTGAGATGCCATGCCATATTTTTTCAAAATATGATATTGTTCTTGCCATTCTTTGACAGACCCCTTATCCCTCTGGACAGAATGCAGGTCCAACCACGTTGGTATACCCTCAAGCCCCTCAGACAATGAATTCACAACCTCAAACCCGTTCTCCGGTAAGTAAACAAAAGCTTGTTCCAAATAATATTTTCCACCTTAGTTTGTCTGTGTAGTAGCCTGGGTTCATTTGGCAAGTATTTTTACTGGATTTTGGACATTTGTTTCATAGTTGATTTATTATTATTATTATTARTGTTATTGGTTAGCATTGCATTTTCAGACCTAATCTTAGGAATAATTTGAATTTATTATGAAAAAAAGAGGTGGAGCTTTTAGATCATTTTTGCTTGTCTGTGATGATTCTTTAAAGTCTGGTTGCATTCAGGTGTACTTCATWTCAGCTGTTAATGTGAGTGCTGTACTGTTCAAAATCCAGAAGAGTAAAGCATAATGATTTTTTTTAAAGTAAACTGAATTTTGCTAAGTAGTCTTAAATTCTGGTGGTTCGGGAAATAAGACTTCTGACTCATTGTCACTGGATCAGTTCTAATCATTTTACAGTGTGGACATGTGCATGACATACACCAGGGGTGTATTCATTTCTTCAAATGGTAAATAAATTGTCATACAAATGCAAATGCTATCATCCTCTTTGTTTATACTTCACCTGGATTGCAACAAGTACTGCAAAYATTGAGAATTTACTCAAGGTTCATCCTTCTGTCTCACGAAAGTATACAGTGGCTTCAGCTGTCCATCCCTTAGAACATCGTTTCCTGCCCTGCATGATGAGCTTTGGCTAGAAGGTGTTTCTGTAACAGCTTTCATTGTATCTCACATCCCTCTTTGTACCTCAGCTCTGTGTATTCTTCTGAATACAGAAAATCTTCTTTTTGTTCCCCACCACTGCTTTTTTGCCTGGAATACAGGAATACTTCATTGCATTAGCTCCTATTCATTTGGTTTTATGCATGAATCCAAATTGTTGAAATGTACCAAAGACTTGGTCAAAGAATTAGGACAGCATAGACTGCACCAAAATGTAATCTCTTTCTTACCCTCTTCCTGTCTTTTCCCTGTGGCCCTCTTTTCCAATACCTGGTCTTAGATCCTGGTTTTCCCCACTGGGTGGAAGAACCATTCCAAGGAGGAGGGACTTTTGTCCTAGTTGCCTGTTTGCTTGTGTGTCTCTCTCTCTTTCTCTTTCTGTCTCTTTTTCTTTCTTTTCTTTTTTTCTTTCTTTCTTTTTTCTTTTTTTTTTTTTTTTGCTGAAATGGTCAACACAATGTCTGGTGCAAGTTTTGTTCTGAGAGTGGTTTGGGGATGTGGACACTTGACTACTTGGAGCGGGCCTGAGGTCTCATCAAATCAATTTAGATAGGCCCTGGTTTTAATCATTAAGCATGGAACATTATGGTAAGCTCTGATTGCAAAGAGTTCTATGGACCTCTTACCCTTCCCCCTTTTTCTAATTATTGGAAAATAAAAGAATTAAATTTACATGGTTAGAATTGGCGCAAAACCTGACTGAAGAGCTGCATCTCTAAACCAGTTTTTTTGACAGCCCAGCAGAACAGTGCCAATACATTGCACAGACAACTGGAAGAGGAGGAAGGTTTTGGAACAGACTCCCGTTTACAGGTCCTTGGCTGGAAGAGGCTGGATAAAATACTGCATTGTAAGCAATATAACAAACTGTACTTCTTGCAGGCAGTGGTGCCTCTGGCACTCATAATTTTTGACCACATCCACTTATTGGCTGATGAACACAAACGCATTGATTGCTTCCTCTCTGAAAGTCTAACTTAGCATGGCAGTTTTTGCCAGGCATAGCTGGGAAAAGAATAACAAATTGGGTGGGTCTTCTCTATTGGGAATTAGTTAGGAATAATTTGGGGTTTAGGTTTTTCTTTATTTTGAACTTGAAGTGGGATATTCTTTTCAGATAAATTTGAATTTAAAAGATAAATTTCAAGGCTTCTTTAATCCCCCCTTTCCATTTGATAATTGAATATCAAGGGGGAAATTACCTATAGTTGTCAGCCATTTTTCTGTGGTCATAAACTCTTCAGAGACTATCCTTTATGCAGTTTTTTGCCATCTGCTCTGCTAGTGACCATTACCACCCCCATTACTAAAAACCACACATATAACATTCCATTACATGCCCCAAAACAAGTGCAAGACTAGCAAAACCTGGACTATTCTTGCTTATTGTTTTGGGTTTGATATTCTTTATTTTGTTTATGTTGGTGCTGGGAGGGTGAAGTTGGGGTATGAAATTTGGCAGTACTGCATTTTCTGTTTACATCCCAAGTTGCCATAGTCTAGTCTCATTCATCCCACAGCTGTCCTAACTGGGAAGGAGAGGAGAGGTAAGGTGTTGCACTAAGGAAGGGCACTTCCCATGGCTTTGTAGAGCAGCTGAGGCTTACTCCATTCTATTTCTGCATTAATAGGCCATTGGCAATTACACAGTTTAGGCTTTTCTGTTCTTCAGTGGGCAGCTGACTTTGCAATCAGGTGGCTTCAAATGCCCTCACTTTTCTGTCAGATTATCTTTGTGCCTTTATTTCTATTTGAAACTTAGTATCTTAGTTAAGTTCATAATGTGGGACGTCTTATTAAAAAAATACTAATAAGCTACCTATCTATTTCATTTTCTTATTGTTTTGGAACTCTTAAAGCAGTTTTTTTTTTTAATAGTCTGTTAAAAATAGTGAAGCTATTGATATCTTGAAATTGGGAAAAGAGAGAACAGTTTGGCTTTTGTAATAACCTGTAACCATTGGTTATTTTTATATTTTGTGGTGCCAAACACTAAAGTTATATCAATGTCACATTGGGTAAACCAAGTATGCATAGAAGGGTGAGTGCGTGAGTGGATGGGTGGGTGGCATTAACATCGATTCCAAGTTCACATAAAGCTGCTTTCCTTTATATCTACAATCCTCACCATCTTAAAGACCCCTCTTAAAAAAAGAAAAAAAGAAATTTTCTCTTTTTAATTAGAGCCAGCAGCGACTACAGTTTGTTCTGTTGCTTACAGTTACCCTCAGCATTAAGACTATTGTCATTCCAAATGAAAAATTCAATAGCCAATGGTGACTAGTGCAAAATAGACTAGGGTACTATCTCAGGGTACTTTCCCACTACCTTAAGTTGTGGTTTTCTTTTCTTTCTTTCTTTTTTTTTTTAATATATGTATAATTTTATAAGGTAGTCCTCTTTGTTCATGGAAAGTTCTCTACTGAATGGAGCATTCCAAATATGTAAAGTTTCAACTATTATATTAGAGCTTTGGAAACGGGGCCTTTCTGTGGAACAGTGATAAGACAGGTACTGCTGTACTCAGGTTACTCTTTTACATGGCCCTTCTCTCCCATTTTCTTGAAAATTCTTCTGTGAAGAAACATCTTACTCCCACCCCCTACTTTCATATCACATGGGTGGTATTGCTTATTCTTGAAACTTAATGTCCATAACAGAGATATGATCTATTTTGTTCTCGTAATTGGAAAATTAAAAGACATCAATTTCTTTGAAGAGAATATTTTCCCCAATAACCATAACTGCTGCTGTGACCACTATTCTGAAAAACTGATTATAGTGTTTAGCCAATTATTATGGCCCACCTAACACACCCCTACACTATAAATCATTAGGGAGTCTTTCATTACTTAAAACAATAGTTGATATTTTTGTTTTTAAGGTTAATTCTTGACAGAATTGTCTTCCGGGTTATCTGACATTTTGGCCATGTGGTCCAATGCAATTTGTTTACATTTTTGTGTGTGTGACACAGTGTTAGTTGGGAAAACAATTCTGAAACTCTTGCAAGATTCTGTTGCACATGATTTAAATTCTGAGCATGAAGGATTGTTTCTTAATCTTCAGTCTAATTCATCTGTGATAATAAATTCATGGAATGTTCTTCATAGGAAGTATGAAGGTATTAATACTTTAAAGGTATTAAATAAAAACCCTGTGTGGTTTACACTGAAAACATTTACTTTCTAAATATTTTCATTATTAAAGGGGGGTGATTAATTAACATCATCCTACCTAATGTATTAGTACTATATAATATATAGCTGTATATGCCCCTGTATTTTTTTTCGGTCCTTTTTAATTGAAATAATGGAAGCCAAAGTTTGCTCTGTTGAATTGTTTGATTTTAGAGGTTTGGCAATAGAAATTTTCATGAATGAGGAGTTTTTCTTCCATTCTGAGTYGAAGGAAGCTTTGGAATATATGTTATTGACTTTGAAGCACTGTATGATTTAGCTGAGGAATTAGGTTTCCTTTTCCTTTTATTCTCATAACAAATAGCAGTAGGTACATAAGTATAGTGTTTGCTGTTCTCAACAAATAAGAATGAGATTTGACTTTTTAAATTCTTTTTTTTTCTTTTTTCCTTCTCAAGCCTATAAATAGTACCATTTTGATTAATCATGTAAGACACTGATGTTCTTTACCAGCTATTTGCTTTGACATGCCTGGTATTAAATTTAACAGTTAAGTACATTTAAAAAATGTATTTTTCATAAACCTTTATCCTTTAACCTCAAGAAATAAGAGGAAAATACAGAAACTTCAAATTCATGTATAAGATCCCTCATTTACTTTAAGAAAATTTGCTATTAGTCCTGTTACATTTATTTCCTGCCAGACATTATTATGATCTCTTGGCTATTTCTTGTAATGTAAACTCATTTCTCATGTCATCTGGCTGTATCAGTTACATATAGCATACTTGATTTTCATGTTTGTCTTAATATAATCACTCAGTGTCTAAAACTTTCATCTGCCTGATTTAGGCTTTATTTATTTATTTGTTTATTTGAAGTATTCCTATTAGAGAGTACTCTAGGTATCTAACAGCTTAGCTGTTTTTCTTCTAGCTGATAAATGACAAACTATCTTGGTAGTGTTGTTAACCTGTTGAATCTTAGTACCTGTCTGTCACTGTCCTGCAGCAAAGCTTTGACTGTTCTATGTTTTTGTTTTTTTTTTTTTCTTGTGGGTTTTTTCTTTTGGCATATTGTGTGACATTTTGGTTTTTGTTGTTGTGTTTCTGACTCTTTGTGCCTTTCCTTTTGTGTTTGTTTTCCCTCCTTTTCTCAGTTTGCAGCGGGGCCTCGACCTGCCCATCATCAGGTACTGTACCCTTGCCCCTTCACTATCACCCTTAACTAATAGGCGGGAGCTTCAGTAGCTGCTGACTCTTAGAATGCTGCCACCCAGGGAATCACCGAAATTACTCTTTCCAGAGTAGTTTCTATCGGATGTAGTTCAGTCCTTATTGTCCTTTACTAATTCCTTTGCATTTTGTTATTAATGTACCCCTTTGCTTCTGTTCACAGCAAATTTTTTTAATACTCTGATCTTTTTTTTTCTTTCTAAAAAAGATTGATTTGAAATTAGACAACTTTGAAAAATTTAGATATATTAAGACTTCACAAACTTTGTTGATCTCTATATTGTTGAAATTTAACTGAATGGAGCAGGCAACATTCTAAGGGTTTTCTGTTAACATTCTGATGTAATTTGTTTTGATGTGTATAAAATAGCTTTAGTATTTCTAAAACCACTATTAATATCAATTACTAACTTAGACCTAATGACATTAACAACAACATACATTGAATTGCTGTGTAAATTATCTTTATTCTTAGCATACATAGAAAATAGATGCCTCATTTATTTTTAATATTTTTGCCTACTGGTTTATTAAAATGAATTTATTATAGGAATCAAAATTTTAAAAATGTGCATGCCAGTACTGTGTTATTTATCAAAACTTAGCATTTTGGGAGAACAAAGACTTTCATGCACACCTTCTTCCTACTTKGGAGTGTTCTGAAACATCTTCTCCCGGTGTCCTGGGAGAAGTTTAGGTTAGACTCTGATAGATCAAGGTTCGTATTACCAGCTCTATTGTGTAACCAGTTGTTTTAAGCAAGTCTTTCTGAGCCTGTTTCCTCATATGTAAAATATGGATAAAACAGGGATAACACCTTCTTTTAGAGATTATATACACGTAAGGTATCCATACAAAGTAAGCAGTCAGTAAGTGATAGCTGGTTTAAGTAATTATTTTTATGCAACATAGTACTGTCAAAAAAAAAATAAGGGAAATATTACCAGTATTTCCCAGTGGTGTCATATTTAGAACTTTTATTACTGACTAAATGGATACTGTTTAATTGAAGGCCTTCAGTACAAGAATCAGTTTCTTAAAATGTCGTGCTTCCAATTTGGATAACATAATGACCTTTCACATCTTGAAGTGTTAAAAGTACTTTGTAGGAAACTTAATTTTAAATGAATCGGATGTCTGTTTGGATTTCAWAAAGAAATAAATCTCGGGTAGTTTTTAGCCCTAAAAGATAGTATTGTAGGGGCTGGGATTGTGACTCAGTGGTAGAGCACTCGCCTAGCATGTGTGAGACACTGGATTCAGTCCTTAGTACCACGTAAAAATAAATAAAATAAAGGTATTGTGTCCATTTATAACTTAAAAAAAATAGTATTATAAAGTGCTTTAAGAGTTTGGACTTTGACCCAGGCATGGCTCACTTGTAATCCCAGCAACTCAAGAAGCTGAGACAGGAGGGTCTTAAATTCAAAGCCAGCCTTCGCAATCTAGTGATCCCCTAAGCTACATAGCAAGACCCTGTCTCACAATTTAAAGAAAGTGTTGGGGATATGACTCAGTGGTCATGGGTACCTGGGTTCAATTCCCAGTACCTGCACATCTCTCTCACCTCCACCTGCCGCAAAACAAGGGGGTGCGGATTTGGACTTGCTATCAGGTAGACAGACCTAGGTTTGACTGTTTTTAATCTTCTCAGCACTGGGAATTAATCTTAGAGGTACTTTACCACTGAGCTACATCCCTACCCCTTTTTATTTTGAGGATAGGGTCTTGCCAATTTCCTGAGGCTGGCCTGAAGCTTGAGATCCTAATGCTAATGCCTCAGCTTCCTAATGATTCCTTATTATTATCTGAGTGTTYCCCCTCAGGTAATACACAGCTTCAGTTTTCTTATCAGTAAAATGGAGATAGTAATACCATCTCAAGATTAATATAAAGAATCAGTGAAGGCTTGGGCTGTGACTCAGCAGTAGCACACTTTTCCTGGCATATGTGAGGCACTGGGTTCGATTCTCAGCACCACATATAAATAAACAAAATAAAGGTCTGTCAACAACTTAAAAAAATAATAATAATAAAAAAAGAATCAGTGACATAATGCAAGTAAAATGATTAGCAGAGTGAGAATCCAGGACATAAGGGTTACTACTAGTACTGAAAAAGATAGGCCCTTAGGTAAAAAGGTGATATTATAACTTTCGTTTTTTATTTGTGGTTGGACACAGTACCTTTATTTTACTTATTTATTTTTATGTGGTGCTGAGGATAAATCCCAGGGCCTCAAACTTGCTAGGTGAGCTCTCTGCCACTGAGCCACAACCCCCACCAAAGATATTATAATTTTTTTATGCAATTTAGTCCAGGCCACATATGCAAGGTTGAAATTTCATTCCCTGTCAAGCCAGATTCTCCTAAAAGAGAAACCTGGGAAATCTGCATTCAAGAACCAGAGTCAAAGAAACATGTAATTTGCGAATTAAGTGGTGAAAAGGAATTAGAAAAGTTTTCTGAGCTGCCTTTTTTTTTTTTTTAAGTTATTGATAGCTCTTTATTTATTTATTTATTTATCCGTGGTGCTGAGAATCAAACCCAGTGCCTCACACACACCAGGCAAGTGCGCTACCACTGAGTCTCAGCCCCGGCCCTCTAAGCTCCTTGATATAAGGCACAGTTTAGTTTCTGTTTTTTTACATGTTCACTTTGTATACCTCTCTTTCTCTTAAGGCAGAGCATTAGTAAACGGAATTAACATTACCCTTGGCTTCATTTCTTTTTGTAGATTGTCTTGCAATAGACTGATGGAATGCTGGGTAGGTTTTGAAACTAGTACCATATTACAAAATAACCCATGCCCACCTTCTTATAAGAGTAGCCAGGTTCTTATAGATTATTAGTTTTAAGTTCTTATTAGTTTTTAAGTTCTGTTTCTCTGCTTGTATTCAGTAGCAGTGGTCTTTAAATCAGGATGTTATAAGCATTTATAAATAGTTGACTGAGAAATTTGTTTTCTTCACTTTTTTTCCTGAGTTATTAAAGGCATCTGATATCAGTTTATCCTTCCTTCATTCCAACAATCCAGGAAGACTTTGAGAAATCTATGTGGGGCAAGATTTTTCATGAGTAATATGACTCAGGTTGATCTTTAGCTGTGCTCAACCACTGAGCCACATACCTAGCCCCTTTTTATTTTTTATTTTGAGACAGGGTTACACTGAGTTTCTTAGGTCCTTGCCAAATTGCTGAGGCTAGCCTTGAACTTGTGATCCTCCTGCCTCAGCCTCCTGAGTTCCTGGGATTACAGGTGTGTACCACGATGCCTGCCCGGCCTGTAGTTCTGTTGGCTTCCCTGCAAACYAGGAATACCATGCTGCATTTAGAATTATGTTGGTTACTTCTTCCTGGTACCATCAGTTTGTGGCAGGGATACTTTAAATTATTAAATATTTTCTTTCTTTTTTGTTGTGGTGTTTTTGTTTTTGGCTTTTTTGTATTTTATTACCTGAAGAGCTTTTGGAATTGTAGTTTTCTTCAAAGGTAAAATAAAAATTGTTGAGTCATTTTATTTGTAAAACACTCTTAGCTTTTAAAAGTATGTTTCCTTTTTTTTTTTTTTTTACACTGAAAATCACAAGGTAATTAGAGACTGAAAGAACAGAAAATACATTCAGAATTAAAACAAGCCGTTGGGGCCTGGCGATATAGCTCAGTTGGTGAAGTGCTTGCCTTGCATTCACAAGGCCCTGGGTTCAATCCCCAGCACCAAAAACAAAAACCCCCAAACAAGCCATTGATATGATTTTTTAGATTCTGACTTGTTTATTTCAAGTGTTTGGTCTTTGAAATCTGTGTAATTGTGGTTTAAAGTTATGTATGTACCTATCCTTATTTTACTTTCGGGTTTCACAGTAGAGATCAGGTGGTTGGTTGCATACCATGACTTAGTCTTCTTTTCATTATGAGAAAAACCAGGGAATTAGTATTTAGAAATATTCATGGAATCAAGTAATTTTACATCTTGCAGTGTTTGTAAATGCTAAATACTATGCATAAACAAACAACAAACTTCAAAAACCTTGACAGTATGTGCCACCAAGTAATATRGTACATGGTGACAAGCATTGAAACTGCATTTTCTTCCTATTGTAGTTTGTTTCGTTTTGGGGGGAAGAAACAAAACAGAAACAACTCCCACCCCCAAGAATAATTCACTTATGTTATTTTTTCAATATAATCCCTAAAGATTTCTCTACTGACCAATGGTGCTGTTGTATGTGTAGGTTGAGACATATTTGTATTGCTTTAGGTAGTTTCACTGAGTTTTGAAAGTGAAATAAACCACAAGTGAAGGCTTSTGGTTTGCCTCTAGGGTCAGACCTGGCATGTGAATGTGAATAGGATAACAGATCAAGCATCTAAACAATCTTGTGTCCAAAACTCAGAGCTTTATGAAGGATAGTGATAGGCATTTGGATCTGGGGTCTTGTTCACATGGAATTATAGAGTGGGGAGCATGAAGAATGGAGAAAATGCCTATCAGGAGTTGATCCTCATGCTTCRGCTTTTGTAATTACAAAATGGGTACAATATGCTCATAAGTGATAGAAATTATGTAATATAACCCCTATTTTTTGTTGGTGTTTGGGAATTAAAGTGCCTGGCCTGCCATATAACAGCCAGGTCTGCTCCTTTAGCAGCCAGTTGGCTTGCCTTTTTCTTTTCCCAAACATATTTGATCTATGAATGAAGTCTTCCACTAGGATGCTCACTTCCCAACTGTTTTCTTAGGGATCTGACTGAATACCCCTTGTTCTTGATAGAATTCTTAGTTTTTCCTTACCTGACCTAATATTCCAGGGCAGCATTGGATAGTACAGTTTTCTTTGATGATGGAAATGTTCTGAATCTGCACTGTTCCGTACTGTAGCTACTGGCCATATGTGATTATTGAGCACTGGAAGTGTGGGTAATGCAGATAAAAACCTGAATTTTAAATTTTATT